AAGTTTTGTAGGTTTTTTTAAATTTTTTTAAGCTTTTGACAAACTATAAATAATAATAAAACAAATCAACATTTTTTTTTTTCTTTCAAAATCTTTCAGAAAAATTTTTAAGTTTTCTATTTATACTTAATGTTTTTTAATTTTAAATAAATCCGTAAAACCAATATTATAATTTTTTTTTATTCAAATTATTTTTTTAGACTATAAAAATTAATATTTTTCGGTAAAATCTCCAACTTTACATATTTTGAGTCTTCATAAGTTTCAATTAAATATTTTTGAAGAATTTTTAATTGTAAAGAAATTTAATATTCTACATATATCACTCGTAGGCATAGCCGACAAATGCATTGCTACGAGAATTGGTATCGACCTACGGCAAACTGAGCATATCAAAGGTCCCAAATCTTTGTGGCGTGGAGCCTACTCCAAGAGAGATATTCTTCACGGACATATTTCCGAGGGATATGTGGATGGGGTGGAGTCGCTGGAGGGATGACAATTCAAGGAAAAAGTTGAAAGAAGTCTTCTGTTCAGAGAGGTGGTTTGGTAGTCTGAAACAATAATTGGTGATATCAGACCACCTTAATATTGCAAATTCGCTGACAGTGAACTTAAAGCCTGCCAAGGAGTCATAAAAGATAGTATCAAACTACTTCTATATTAAACTTGTCTTGAAGCCTGACTATAGCAGAATCCTCCGAAACTGTAAAGCCGATGATATTACAAAAGTAACTCAGTAAACGTTAGTCAAGCACTTGTGGGATTGCAAAAGCCTTCTGGTTCAGAGTGAAACATAAAAGGTGAATGGAGCTGCTAGTTCTTAGCAAAGTTCATATGGCCGCAATGATAGACATCCCAACTTACTTCTAAAGCAGGCTGCCCCCCTAAACATAATTCTTAATTTTGGCTGTTGAAATTTTGGTTGCTGTAACTGAGCAGCTTAGCTCTATGGGCAGCAACAAACTAAAATTTTTCCGACTTATTTTTACTAACTTACGCGAAGGGGATACATTTTTTGAACCACATGCATTTTCACTTATTCCAAGGTTTAAAATATTGTTTATCGAATATTATTATATGTATAAATGCCGCCATCATTATCAGATGTTTAGGTGCAGTTTCTCTGTATTTGCAAATATATATCTAAACTATTATAAATATTTGTTTTTTGTAAATAAAATAATTAATTAATTAAGTAACATGAATTAAGCTCGATTAATAATAAAATTTCTCTGTTCTATTTTACAGGCTCTCCCACCGTTGTGGCACGCAACTCCACACCAGTCGCCTACCCCGGCTCGCCGCTGCATTTAGCCGTAGAATTCTGTGCCAATCCGCCCGCGCATGCCGCGCGCTGGCTGCACGGTGATCGTGTCTACACGCCCGGCAATCAATATGGTAGCACTGTGCTGGCTTACGGCGTAACGGTAAATTTTATATACATACATATAATCCTAAAAAACAAAGCTAACAAAAAGATATCTCTGCTTAACTTACAGGACCTGCCCACGCCGTACTGCAAGGAGGCGCGCCTCACCTACGTCAGCATGCACGAGCGCGTGCCGCGCACTTTCTACTTCATCGTTTCGTCGCCCGGTGGCGTGGCCGAGGCGACATTCAAAGTCAACTTTACCATGCGTTATCGCGCCGTCTCCAACACGGTGGACGATGAGGAGGAAGAGCTGAGCGAGCCCGAGGAGATACACTTCCCGGTGTTCGGTGCAGGTGCGGCGGCGCGTAGTGCGCGTCGGCAGCTTGACAGCGCCGGCGCTTTAACGTGCATACTCGCGGCATTTGTGCTGTTGCTGTGCAATGGGCGCGCTCATAGCAGGCGTGGCTGGAGTTAGGTGGTGTTTGTATGTAATATTTTTTTTCTCTTTTTTTTTTTTTTCATTCATTTCTAACTAACGCAACTTCAAAACTAGCTTGTAACGCCAACTGTATGTCAAGAGAGAGGGAGAGAGAAAGTATTAGCGAATACTATAAAATCAAATTACTACTAACGTCTAACTATATATGCATACCCATATATATTTATACATATATATGACTATGATAGAATATCCTAAACCTTACTATATAAGCGTATATTTGAGCAAAAACGTAAAGAAAACTTGAAATTTTCCAAAAAGAATATGTGTGCTATCCTATCCTAAACTAAAAAAAACTACTATATATTGTATACATACTGCATACCCCAACTATCACATACATGCATGCTTAGTTAACTAAGTAAATACTTAAGTACATTATATACTAGCATTGAACTATGCAGCTCAAAAATGAAAAAAAAAACCAAAACATGCATAACTTAATCCCCTTCCGCTAGCCAAGTGTAACTACTTTAGTAACTACTTACAACCTAAGCACTTGCTAACTACATTACATGGTACATACATACATTACCTAGTTAAGTAACGACTTCGGTAATAAGTTTTCTAAGGTTGCGGCAAATCGTTTTTAGGTTTTTAGGCTACCATACTAACTATCAACCTACAAATGTACTTACTACTAATTGCGTAAACAAATAAATGTTCTTTTATTAGTCTAACGCAGCGGTGTTGAGGAAATAGACTGCTGCGCGCCAAAAGGTGTGCTAAGCATTATGTTTATATCTGTATACGTACATCATTTGCATACAGTTATAAGCCGTTATAAAATAACGCTTCGCCTATTAGTTGTTAATTGCCTGTTTAAAAGTTTCAATGTACAGCTTATGCACTTTCTAAGCATAGTTTTAGGCTGTCGAGTTTTGTGTGTAGTTCGTGACTCTATTATACATAGCCTATGCTCGGAGGTTTTGGTATAACGATGTTGCTGCAAAATTAAATTAAGTAGTGTAAAAATTAGTTTTTAAAGTGTTTTCGTTGAAGTTAGAAAAAAATACTAAAAATGCTCAATCCCAACATGTTGTATTGATTTTAAAAATATTTTTCGATATAAAAGCTCAAAACTTTGAAATTTCCAAACAAAAAAATAATCATTATTCTGCATGAATTTCGAAAATATTTTACGAAAACAATTCTCTATGAATGTTAAAAAATGCTTTTTGAGAAAAAATTTTGAATACTCAAAAAACAAAATATTTTCCTATTCAGTAAAAATTTAAAAACATGTTTTTAATTAAAATTTTAACTTTCGAAATTGTGTGAATTTTATAAACATTTTTCGAGTAAAGCAATTCAGTATGAATTTTGAAAAAGTTTTTCGAGTAAAAAATGTTGAGATTCCAATAAACCAAATAAAGCATTTGTATATATATATTTACATATTTTTCGAATTAAAAATTTTAAATTTCGGACTTTCCAAACAAACTAATTCATTATTCCATATGAATTTTGAAAAGATTTTGCGACTAAAAAATTGTAATTTTCCAAAATAAAATTAATTTTCTATTCTGCATACATTTAAAAATATTTGT